TCGCCCGGCACCTGAAAGACGCCCTGGAGAAGAAACCACCAGAAGGAAACGCAGAACAGAGGTGGGACTTCCTCCTCAACACCATCCACGACATTGCCTATTCCATCTTTGGCAAGAGAACAAGGAAAAGCCAGGACTTAAAACTGACCATCAGTCTCAAGAAGACCAACATCTTGAGTAAGGACACGGAGAGCCAACCCACCATCTCCATTAACAACTACCAGCTGGATGTGGTCAAGGAGTTTACTTACCTTGGTTCCACGGTGACAGACTTGCTTGACTTGGACCCTGAACTGAACAGAAGGATCGGCCGAGCCACCACAACTCTTGCCCGGCTCACCAAACGCGTGTGGGAGAACAGCAAGTTGACGACCAACACCAGGATGGCAGTCTACAGGGCCTGTGTTCTCAGCACCCTACTGCATGGCAGTGAGTCCTGTACCCTGTATGCACGTCAAGAAAAGAGTCTCAACGCCTTCCACATGTGAAACCTCAGGCGAATCCTTGGTATCAAGTGGTCCGACTACATCACCAACAAAGATGTCTTGGGACGTGCCAACATCCCAAGCATGTACACCCTCCTCCGTCAGCGTCGCCTTCGGTGGCTCGGCCACATCCGCAGGATGGAGGATGGTATGATCCCCAAAGATCTGCTCTATGGAGAACTCGCAGTTGGAAAGAGAACACAGGGCCGCCCACAGCTTCGTTTCAAAGACGTTTGCAACAGGGACTTGAAGGCTATTGAGGTAGATTTGAAGGGATGGGAGTCACTGGCCCAGAACCGCCCAAATTGGAAACAAGAACTGGCACGTGGTCTATGCCGTGGGGAGGAGAAGATGAGAGCATCAGCAGAAGACAAGAGAGCCAGGAGCAGCCAGGACAAACAAGCGCCCCCCTCCAAATGTGTGGTCAGGTGCATCCACTGCAACAGGGACTGTCACTCCCGGATCGGCCTCTTTAGCCATACCAGACGGTGCTCCCAATCAGGCACAAACGGATAATCACACTGTGATTGAAATGCCAATGAAATCTCGTAAGGCATTTTTCACAGCATGGAGAAAAGACCTCTTTGAATAGTAAAGAATAGAAATGAATAAAAAGTTAAGTGTCTGAGCTTACTCTTAGTCGTCCTTTTAGCTGGGATAAAAATTTGAAAAAAGACAAATGTGATGATCCATGTTGAGTCCAATTGCTCTCATCTGAGGCAGAGTTGTAAAAAAGGAAAAAAAATCATTCATGCCCGCTCGCTGCCGAGCTAGCAGAGGTCTGATGGGCTGGAGGCAGAGCCTCCTCCATGGAGAGCGAGAGAATGCTCTTCCAAATCTCTCGAAAGTGCCCCGAAAATGCCCAACGCGTCACTCTCTGCAACTCCTTTTAAAACCCTGAATGTAGGGCTAAGGTCATCTCTCCTTCAGGTCAGAATCAGAATCATCTTTATTGGCCAAGTATGTAGAACACAAAGGGAATTTGTCTCCGGTATAACACGCTGCATTAGTATCATCATACAATACAATACATGCTGATTTATATAGCGCTTTCACAACAGCGGCAGCTGTAACAAAGCACTTAACAAAACAGTTAACATAAAGTAAAATAATAAACACAACACATAACATAAAACACGGACAGTCGTGCAGTCCTAACCACTTTTCCGGGACATGCTTTGTTATTTGAAGCAGTTTGAGATGAAAGAGGAGAGAATCAAAGTGTCCTTTCACCAGTGGATCAGAGACGTCATGCTCAAAATGTGCACACGTTGGCTACAAGCTAAGTTTCAAAGTCAACAAGCTGTAGCATCCATTGACGAAAAAAGAGATTGGTTCACTTCTCCTGTCCCAAGGAAATCCATTTCAATTCCAAGCGGCGACTCTCGGTTCCAAATACGCATCGGCGCTCTGCGCCAACGCTCCTCTCTCCTCATCCTCAACTTCAAGCCATCCATCCAGCCGCACCAACGCCGACTGTCCAACAGCGCCGACATCTCCACTGAACAAAACGGGGTTGTGAAAAATGCTGCCCATTACAGGCGCAAAAAACACAAGCGCCCCAGGTCTGTCCAGCACCGACAGTCAATGGCGCCGACATTCCTCCCAATCAAAATCTGTGCTGGTACAGGCGTGCTGCCGAGAAGGCGCAACCACCAAGCACAGATACTTCTCCTTTGACGAATGTCGTGGCCAAAAAACGCTGAAAACAGTCCATATCAGGTCCACACAATGAAACAACAAACAAAATGTGACAAAACAAAAGACAAAAACAACAAAAAAGAACAAAAAAGCAAGGCTCTTGAAGAGCACTTGCAGAAGGCTGCCTACTCGGGCGCCATCTTGGGGAAAAAAAAAATGGTCGGTTGGTATGAATTTTTGAGTGTTGTATAGCAGTGGTCTAGAATGTTGCCTTCTCTGGTGAAACAGTCGATGTGCTGCTTATATCTGGGAAGTTCACGGTTAAGATGTGCTCTATTAAAATCGCCCAAAATGATCAGGGTTGACTCTGGATATTTTAGTTCGAGTTTGTTGACTTGTTCAGCTAGCGTTTGTATCGCCGTGTTAGCGTTAGCTTGTGGCGTAATGTAAACACCGACTAGTGCAAAGGAGGTGAACTCACGTGTAGAATGGCTTGCAGTTCAAAGACTGCGACTCCAGGTCCGGGCTGCAGTGTGCATCAAGCTTCGTGACATCAGTGCACCATTCTTCGTTGATATAGGAGCAAATTCCACCGCCTTTCGATTTCCCTGGTAGCTCCGTGTCGCGATCAGCTCGGAGTAGGCGGAAGCCGGGTAGATGTATCGCGGAATCCGGGTGGCGGTCACTGAGCCAGGTTTTAGTAAAGCAGAGCGCAGCAGAAAGTGCAAAGGTTTTGTTGGTCTTTGTGAGGAGAAGAAGTTCATCCATCTTGTTTGGCCGAGAACGTAGATTAGCAAGATAGATCGATGGGAGCGGGGTTCGAAATCCACGCTGCCGGAGCTTGACTAGCACGCCGGCTCTCCGACAGCGTTTCCATGCTCCGTACAGCGCAGCCGCTCCGCTCGCTATTAGCTCCGAAAAATCTTGGGGATTTTCGTGTGGGGGTGACAAAAATCAGAGCGTAGACTCCCCAATGCTAAGCAACTTTTCCCTCGTGTAAGTAAGCCACGTAGGGTCACCAAAAACTAATGAAAATGACAAAAACAGGGCTAATACTAGGGAGCGTGTAACCGAGGCTGCCATACTTGTCGGCGCCTGATGACGTTTTGGTGGGTCATGATGACCTGCATGTCCTGATCTGACCTGCATGTGCTGATCAAAGGTATTTTTAGTTTGGTACATCTGGGAATTTCCGCTCATCTCCGACTCGTGCTGTGGCCACGTCACCGTGCAGATGGTGCAGGTCAAGATGATCTGCATGAGTGATTATGTGATCTGGTCGATACGCTTGGGTGCTTATCAGCTGCATTCATCTTGCCAATTATTTTGGTACTTTCCGGACATTCCGCTTGGATGCTTGCATCTTGGCAGCCTGCCAAGACATCCCTTTGACCCTGTTATCTGGTCCCAACAGGTTATTCAATGTTGCGCACTTTTTCCTCTCTCAGCTCACCGATAGACATTATACACCAACGAAAATGATGATTATCATATCTAAGCAGCATAAAATATAGGATATCATATATGCATAATCATGTTGATTTATCATCTCCCTTCGATCAACAGGTTTTGTTCTTGTCAGGTTCTTCATCAGGAGACATCATTTGGCAGTAAATGACATCTCCCGGCAATATCTTACACAAAGCAGTTTCAAAGCGTTTGTTATCCTAATACGAACTATTCTACTTAAAATCAATAATACCATGTTGTTATTTCATTACAACATTCAAAAAGAAGACAGAAAAATAATAATCATAAAACAACAGTTAACAGTAATTCTGTAAAACTGCATGATCCAGTTGTAAAGCACATCTTATGCATTACCTTTTGTTCAACATTTGTTTAAGGCATATTTTAAAAGCATTGACTTTGGTATGTTCGATTTAACCATATTTAATGTACAGTATATACTGTACTCTCTAAATGGACCTGTTGCGAGCTGGCGAGAGCTCAGTGGACAATCTGTTCTCAACGTCATCTAGTGGTCAAATTGGATAATGCCTCCTTAGGCTGAATTTGAGTCTAGTTTGTAGGTCAATTTCCGATTTAACTTTATCAATTGTACCATGAAATGGCGTGCCTTCCGACATAATGAAATAATAAAAAATTACCATAATCGAGACATTCCAACAAATATTGTTGAGCAAGACAATTCGATTATTGGTGAGAAGGAGAAGCTTGAAAACAAATTTAATGATTTCTTTTTCAATGGAGGTCCGAATTTGGCAAGAGACATTGACCTGCCGACTCTTTGAGTGATGCTCTCCAAGTTGTTAGGTTTAAGAACCTGTTGTGAACTCAATCTTCTTTCATCTGAGGCAGCATCCCTTTGTCACATCTCGTCCGGATTACTGTCATGCACTTTACTTCGGAGTCACCCAATCCTCCATTAAGCATTTCCAGTTGGTCCAGAATGCTGCTGCTCGTCTCTTTACTGGTACTCGTCAAGGGGACACTTAACTCCTCCGTTGGCATCCCTTCACTGGACCGTATCTATTTTTTTTAGTTCTTTTTAAGATTCTATTATTTGTTGTCAAGTGGCTGATGTGTTTTTGAGACCATACGGAAAGAGGAATAAGAAATAATATTTCGATCTTGTACACTGTACTGCTGTTGATGTAGCGCCTCATAGTGCCGCAGCTTTGCAACTTCAGTTAAAATACGCTGCCACAGAAGGACATCAAACGCTCAATCAGTACAGCTGGAGCTTTACGCTCTGTTGGGTGATATCAGTCGGTCTGGCTGGGGGTAGCCGCCATGCAATTTTGAACGCAGGAAAAACCCTGAACACCTTTTTATTCATATATCGTAACAGCGTTCATCATGCACAAATTCCAATTTCAAACATGAGAATTGACATGACCAAATGTTTTGTGTTTATCTTTTTGTGTCTTGAAGGCATCCGTGAAGATGTTGGTCCTGGACAGCAGGAGCCAGAGTCCCCCCACATTAAGGAGGAGGTGGAGGCTGAAGAGCGCCCCTGCATTCAAGAAAAGGAGGAGCCAGACCCCCCTGTCATTAAAAAGGAGGACGAAGGTCACACTCACATCAAAGAAGAGGAGGAAGAGCACCTCCACACCAAGGAGGATGAAGGAAAGCCTCCTAACATCAAAGAGGAGGAGGAGGAGCAGAATATCTGCAAGTTGTCATTGACTGGTGTCCCTTTAAAAAGTGAAGACGAAGGCCAAAGTGAAACAGGGAGAGGGGCGGGGCCTCCAGGCAGCAGCTCGTGTCAATACGTGATATCAGAAGGTGATGGAGACCACTGTGTAGTGTCACAAGTGGACAGGCTCTTAGGTATCCTAACACCACGCCACACAGCACCACTCGGGAGGATGATGAAATTGGCTCCACCACAACTGGGTCCCTAATTATTGATGGCTATACATGATATAACCATTACCACATTGTTAAAATAGAGCCTCCCTAAGTCTAAAACCTAACAATTACACAAACGTCAATTTCAAGTCTGATACTCGACCAAAAATTCACTGAACAATGAATTTTTCATTTTCATAAAGTGATACTGTGGTCGACTGGTGAACATGTCTGCCTCACAATACAGAGGTGCAGGGTTCGATGCCCGTGCCAGCCTTCTTGTGTGCGGTTTACATGTTCTCCTCCGTGCCTGCGTGTGTACTGCCATTTCCTCCCGCATTCCGAATGGTTGTTCGTCTTTGTGTGCCCTGCGATTGGCTGACACCAGTTCAGGGCTACAGCCCAAAGTCAGCTGGGATACGCACCAACACTGCCGCAACCCCTGTGAGGACAGGCGGATTAGAAAGTTTTGTCCATGATCTTTCAAGAACATTTTTTTTGCCTAAATGTGGCCAGATTCAGTCACACTAGCTGACTAATAAATGTTATGAGCCTTCTTACTTTTTTCCTGTCAGAGCGTTAAATTACAATCGACCACAAGTATAAATCTAAACAATATCTGCCATGTACAGTTACACCATGAGATTTGACTTTGCCAAACCTTTTTTCTTTATCTTCTTCTATCTTGGAGATGTCAATGAAGATGTTTGTCCTGGGCCGCGGGAGTCAGAGTCCCCCCACATTAAAGAGGAATTGGAGGATGAAGTGGACCCCTGCATTCAAGAAAAGGAAGAGCCAGATACTCTTTATTTATCAAAAGGAAGAAGAAGAGCACAGTCACATCAAAGAGAAGGAGGAAAAGCATCTCCATACCAAGGAGGATGAAAAAAAGTCTCCCTACATCAAAGAGGCAAAAGAAGAGCAGAAAATCTGTAAGCACATCAGAACACACACTGGTGAGAAACCCTTTGCCTGCTCAATTTGTCGCCAAATATTCTCTGAGAAAGGGACCTTAAAAATACACACAAGAACCCACACTGATGAGAAACCTTTTCCCTGCTCAATTTGTGGACAAAGATTCTCAGAGAAGGGAACCTTACAAATACACATAAGAACCCACACCGGTGAAAAACCTTTTGCCTGTTCAATTTGTGGGCAAAGGTTCTCTCAGAAGGGAACCTTAACAAATCACATCAGAACACACACTGGTGAGAAACCCTTTGCCTGCTCAATTTGTCGCCAAATATTCTCTGAGAAAGGGACCTTAAAAATACACACAAGAACCCACACTGATGAGAAACCTTTTCCCTGCTCAATTTGTGGACAAAGATTCTCAGAGAAGGGAACCTTACAAATACACATAAGAACCCACACCGGTGAAAAACCTTTTGCCTGTTCAATTTGTGGGCAAAGGTTCTCTCAGAAGGGAACCTTAACAAATCACATCAGAACACACACTGGTGAGAAACCCTTTGCCTGCTCAGTATGTTCCCAGAGATTCTGTCAGAAGGGACAGTTATCAAGACACACAAGAACCCACACTGGTGAGAAGCCTTTTACTTGCTCAGTTTGTGGTCAAAGGTTCTCACATAAGGAAAACTTAATAATTCACACAAAAACACACACTGGTGAGAAACTTTTCGCCTGCTCAGTCTGTGGTAAAAGATTCTTTCGTCAGGGGAGCTTAAAAAGACACACAAGTACCCACATGGGCGAGAAACCTTTTGCTTGCTCAGTCTGTGATAAAAGATTCTCTCAGAAGGGAATCTTATTAAATCACATCAGAACACACACTGGTGAGAAACCCTTTGCCTGCTCAAATTGTTGCCAAAGCTTTTCATGGAAATATCAGGTGAAGAACCATCAGTGTGTTGCAATGCACCAACACACTCATCAATGAAGCTTTGGTTTCTCATCTGATTCGGCTTCATCACTTCATGCTCCAAGGATGACTGAATTCTATGCATCATCTTGCAAGGTTCCTCAATGAAAGAAATGTTTGTATTTGTTGTGTTGAAAATATTGTGAGTTGTCAGTTTGTTGAGATTTTTTTTTTTATTTTCATTTTGAGTTTTGGCTGTGAAATGTTGTTATACTTCAGTTAGTGCATCAGTCGGCATCCCGCGGCTCCGGAGCCTCATGCGGAGCTCATGCGGCTCTTTCATCCTTATAATGCGGCTCTGATTGGCTTGGGAAAATAAATTACTAAAAAAATTTTTTTTGTATTTAATTGAAGTGTGTTTTATTTGTGTTAGTTTTTATATTATTTTAGTTCTAAATTTGAAGATGATTGTGTGATGCCTGGGCAGATTCATTTGCATTTACCTCGGGCGAGAGTGGCCTACCAGTATGCCTAATTTGTGGAGAAAAACTGGCTAACAATAAAGGGTCAAATGTTGCAAGACATTTTAACAATACACACAGAGCCTTTGCTGACAAATATCCAGAGGGAGAAGAGAGGAAAAAAGCTGTTTCGGAACTGATGCAGAAGGCTGACCGGACGAAAAATCAATTCAAGAAGTGGGTGAAGTCTGCAAATTCAACTACATATGCAAGCTTTGTGGCCGCTCAGGAAATAGGCAGGCATGGGAAACCGTTCACAGATGGAGAATATATGAAAGAATCATTCCTTAAGATTTCAGAACACTTATTTGCGGACTTTAAAAACAAAGACGAAATTGTGCAGAAAATCAGAGAGAATTGCATTAAAAACAAACACCGCTTACGGCTCACAGATGACAGCTTACAGTCCTGCGTAAAGATGAAAGTGACTTCGTACAGCCCCGATTTGCAGAAGCTGTGCGCAGAGGTTCAGGAGCAGAAGTCCCATTAACCAGGTAAAATAAATATTTATGCAGATATTTTGCAAATATTTAATTTTCATTGTTTAGTGACACAGTGCTTTTTCCCCCAATTTATTTTATATATTCAGGTCAAGGCTCCGCTGCATACTTTGAAAGCCCAAGGCGATATAAGGATGACGGCTCACGGATTTTTCCCTTTTGTTTGCTGCATGCACAATTTAAATTCAGCTTTTTAATTTATTCGAAAGAGACATTCAGACATTATTATTTTTTCAAGAATTCAAAATGTGTTCATTACATCGGTAAAATTTAATTTCCTCCGTAGCACTTCATAAGACATAACCACACTATAGTTGTTTATACAAAGTGTAAAGGTAAGAAAAAGCAATATATACAGTCTTATCTTCATTTTAGATAAGATAAATGGATATAAGGATGACGCCTCATGGCATTTTTCTGCTTTCGTTTGCTACATGGACAATTTAACATTGTTATTATTTTTCAAAATGTTCAAAATGTGTTCATTAAATGAATAAAATGTAATTTTCTCTGTAGCACGTGGATTTCATAAGAAACATGCTGCGGTAAAGTAGTAGAAGTTTTTTTTTTTCATTTTAGATGTGCGGCTCCCAGTGTTTTCTTTTCCGTGGAAACCGGGTTCAAATGGCTCTTTCGGTGTCAAAGGTTGCCGACCGCTGAGTTAGTGTGTTTGATCATATTTAGACCCTTTTTTTTTTTTAAGAAAATGCATTTTAGTTCATTTTTTTATTTGATGTCATAGTGTTGTGGATGAATTGATCATGAAGGGATTTTCATGAATACGCTTTTATATTACTTTTTCACAGTTTTTCATGTATTCACAACACACTTACTTTTGTGTCACGGCTGCCTCATATCATCATAGTTAAGGTAATAGAGTCGTTGAAAATGTATGACTGCAAATAATACTGTTTCTGAGTCTCAGCGAGTATCTGTTTGTGGTGAGTGTACATGAGGAAGTGAGAGAGAAAATACAGATCCAAGTTCTTCTGTAGTTCTCTATTGAAGCCCAGGCTGGCAGGTGTACACCAATGGCTTGAAGAAAATCTGACATTTGTTTTGACACGAGTCGAGGGCCATTATCGGAAACAATTTGGACAGGTGCACCAAATCTACTCAAGATTTCACCGCAAAATTAATATGAATACAACACCAAGGCTCCTGAGGAAAATCCCATAGCTAAGTGGTACGGCTGCAGGATTGTTGCAAGTTTTAGGACATGATGAACAACTCATTTCCATATGTTCAACCTCTTTGTTTCGCCCTAGCCACCCAAAGGAACTTCTCACTATCTCTTTATTTTCACGATTCCACTTAGTGATGGCAAAATTAAGCCCCATAAAGCAGTGAAAGCCCTGCAGGGAAATACTTCACACACGCTTCGGGGCTTCAAGATGAATCATTTCCTCGACTACGCCATCATGTGGACAGGAAAATGTATAACATGCTTGGTGCATGCAATAAAATGGTGGAGTGTAAATCATGCTCTGACCACATCATAATATGTATTTGAGGAGTGTTTTTACATGAATTGTTCTGTGTTACTTTGTCTATGTTTGTGCTTATGCAACAAGTGAAAATGTGAAATAAGGAGGTAAAATAAAATGCTTATTCGTTTTTATTGAAAAACAATATTTTATCCAGTTTTTGGACTCAGGCGTTTCTTTTTTTGCAGAGAATTTCACCTGCTTTTGAACAAACTCTTTCACATGGTACTGATGAAGCAGGGGTGCGTAGATATGTGATAGCAAGTTGGTATGAAGGGGAATCAATAGCGTTTCTTTGTCGCTTTTATTTTGAACAACACTCGAACCTATCGTATCATTTCCTGAATCAGTCATGTGGTACACCCCCTTCGCGGGGCTTCAAACGTCACCACTGACGTCATCAACACGCGCTTCGACTCCCCATTCATGAACCACTCATCGAGATCACTCGGCACAAGCTTCAGGGATCCGACCCGTGGAGCACATCACTAATTCCACTATGTCCTGCATGAAGGTGTTCTAGCATTTTAGTGTGCCCTTACAGTGGAATGATGATCCTCCTTCCACACAGCAGACACCTGGACTGGACGGTAAGCTTCCACCTTCTATCGTGGTAAAGTTTTAGGTTAGAGTTATCATCTACTGACCGCCCATTCGTGACTATATCTATCTTCTTCTTCTTCTTCTTCTTCTCCTTTCGGCACGTCCCTATTCAAGGGTCGCCACAGCGAGTCAGTAATTTCCATCCGCCCCTGTAAACCGTCCTACCAACTCGCATGGTCGTCTTGGCAAAAGTTTTACGCCGGATGCCATTCCTGACGCAACCCTCCCCATTTCTCCGGGCTTGGGACCGGCACTGGGGAACAGTGCACCCCCAGGGGAGGGCACTGCCCCCCAGCGGCTGGGTTTCGTGACTATATCTATCACTGCCGATAAATCAGGTTCAGCACGTGGAGCCTTTTTCACTGTGGATGCAGTTATTGGCGCTCTTTCAATGTCCCTGGAGTGAAAGATTTCTACTGTGTTCGATTCAGCTTTTGAGAGTTTGGAGTGGGAACCTTGAAAGTCCATCTGCGCATCAATGAGCATTTGATTTGCGATGCTTGATGTCGTAGGAGTGAGCCGACAACAGTAAAGCCCACCGCTGAAAGACGGGGACCTGCAAGAGATGGTAGTCCAAAACCTGCTTCACCTTTATGTCACTCCCTTTTCCTCTGCGCTCACTGACTTTGACTTGAATTGATTTGCACTGACAGAAATGCTCGCTTTGTGTTCACTTACAAGGGTCGTGGTTCGCGCTGGAGCCGATCCCGGCTGTCTGTGGGCAGTAGGCGGGGCACACCCTCAACTGGTTGACAACCAATTGCAGGCGATTCACAGCCGAACAATCACACTAAGGGACAATTGAGACGCAGGGGTGTCAAACTCATTTTTGTCACGGGCTATTTTGGAGTTATGTCTTCCTCTGGAAGGCCGTTACACAGCTAAGCTGAAGAAATGATAATTTTTTAAAAATTACTTGTACACAGCAAATTGATGGATCACTTGTTTTGAAATCAGTCAAATATTTTTTTGCTGAATTTTTGTACAAGTGAGTGTAAATAAAGTCACAAAATTATTGCAAAAGCTCAACGTTATTTATTACACATGACAACTTGTGTGTTCCAATGACCTGCCATGCATGTTTTTGGAATGTGGGAGGAAAACGTACCCACGAGGGTGAGAACAAACCAACTCCACACAGTAAGGCCAAAACCAGACTTCTGGACCTCTGCACTGAGGAAGACAGCCTAACCAGTGGACCGCCGTGGCACCCCTAATATTTCTTTAGATCAGAACAGCACTGATTGAAATAGACTGCGGAGAAAAAAATGCTGAAAACTGCATTTATGACCCGGAATAAAATGGAGGTTTTTCAGTTTAGAATGAAATGTGTTATGTAACTATGCATTTACTTTTAGCTTCATATTTTTGAATTTTCCTCTGCTTGCACACTGGCAGATCGCCACTGCAAAAGAAAATATCTGAATGGCTTTCCTGCAAAAATAAGAGCCACTTGAACACTGCACACCTTTTTAAATTGTGAAAGTAATTTTTAGATCAAGGAAAGCACGCCAAAGGTGTGGACAATGCCGATGACCATATTAGAAGTCAGGAAGTCGTACAACGAGGTGATGGCGTCCCTGCAGATTCAGCGCCACCAGTGTTGAATGGGACGCTTGCCATGCTTTTCGGGAGATGGTAGCTCCAAATCTACTCCTTGTATAACTTTATGGCGAGGATGGCTTGACGACAGTGAGGAGCTCCAATGTGCACCTTAAGGAAAAGAAGGTATAACGTAAGGTGTTTTAGTGTAGAAAAATAGTGAGGGACATTTGAGTACATTTCAAAAACATTCTGGAAAATGCTGTGCAGCGGGTGTAAGCAGGTGAGTCAGGAGAACGTCAGCGGAGAACCTATGGCAATGCCACTTGGACAAACCTTATGTCGAACGCGAATAGCCATGTGCAGAGGCGATATTGAGGGTGATTATGCCATCACCGTGACACATAATATATGAATAACGAATCCACTGTTTACAGGCACAAGTTAAGCGCACGCATACATGCGTATTTTAATCCTAAACGTGTTTGTGTTGCGACAAAGTTTGTCCTTAACGATTTGCCGGACAACGGTGCTGCAGCCTGTGAATTAGCAGAATAAGATACAGTAAATATTCCCATCCCCGGAATTCTATGAAAAGGAATTTCCTTCACCCGGAACAAAAACCCGTGCATTAACATTAACATTATTAACATCAACTACGATATTTCATGTTACCGGAACTTACGTAGGCGGAAATTCCACTACCCGTAACCCGGATTGAGACGTCATGCCGCGGGAGCTTAAATACACGCAACGCCCACCTGATGCTACGGAACGACGACACTGAGACACATTTTCACTTCGCGTTTTTCGATCATCAGATTCGAAACGACGTGTAAGTGAGTTTTTATTGGCGTGCGTTTTACTGTAATTGTGAATGCTTTTAACTTTATTCACTTAACGTCCTGTAGAACGCGGCACGAGCTTAAAAGCAGCACCCACTCGACACGACCGAAGAAACATGTTCGCTTCGCCGTTTTCATTCATCAGATTCGAAACGAAGACGTGGAAGTGACTTTTTATTGGCGTGCGTTTTACTGCAATTGCGAAAGATTGAGATGTTTGGAGTTGGCTCGACCAGAGCATGTTTGGCCTTTTCGTGTCACGAAGCGCATTGAAAGCGAGAGCTATTTTTTGGTCGTGGATCAATGCGATGGGCCACCACTGTTATCCACAATTCTGAAACATGTTTGCGCAGATTACATTTTCATAATGTGTCAATGATGTCTCTTCATACCTAAAATGTAAATAATATGGCTTCTGGATGGACGCTGTGCTGCCAGCTCTTTCAATCCGACAAATATTTCGAAATTAATTTGTCATCCAACCTCCATGTGAATTTGCTTATTTTAAAGCTTCAATGTGCAGGCTTACTTTCTGCTATTTTTGCAGATGACAACTTACCACCTTTCAGATCTAGAAATCAGGGACACACACTTAGCAATGGCGAAACACTTAACAGCCTGAACTTGAGCATGTTGACCAGGCCTACTGTATTGTATACATATAAAATGCTGTACGTTAAACAAAGCCTCTCTGGGGATACTTTTACTGAAAGAAAGAAAATCAGGCTTCTTCTGGAACACAGGAACATCCATGACACTGTGTCACACAACAGTGCCCTTCAAAAACCATGATGACCAAAAACAATTTGAAATATGGACTCCTCAGACCACAGCCCACTAGGATGGAAAAAAAAAAATAATAATTTTATTTACATTTTGCAGCACGACATCCAAACTTTATAATTGGGGTTTGTATATCTTGGTTAGCTGTTCCTCTAACAGAGGTGAGTGTGATGAGTTCAGGAGCAGGAAATGTTCTTGCAACGAGAATCTGGTGTGTGTGTCACTGTGCGTGTCACAGCACCGTCGTAACCTGCAGAGTGCTCAAGCAACACTTCCTCCATGTGCAGGTGCACTCGCTCCCTGTCACTTGCCATGCTGACCGACATTCCTGGCTTGCCCTTCAATGGTTTGCCGTTTCCAAAGTGGGAAAGCAGGAAGTGTGGCGCTCGTCCAGGACGTTGTTTGTACCGGAAAAAATCATCACCACTCGTAGCCTTATTGGGGTAAATGTATGACAGTGTCACCCAACTGCCTTTTGATGCCAACATTTCAGTCGTGACCGCCACCAGCTCGCTGCTGATGCCTCAACGATGAGACAAAAGCAGTTTCAGCATTCGGTTGAGTGACTCTTCGCCTCGCCAAGCAACACTCACCTGCCACCGTAGTCATGAGCAGCAACCAAGCTAACAGCAACATGCTGAAGAACGTTCTGTCAACTCTGCTTCGTCTTCTGAATTCAAGATGTCATCGCGTGACTGAAGCTCCTCCCTGATCACGTGAGCCCACGCCCCAAAATGCCTTTGATTTTTACTGTGGATCAGGCAACTTCAAAGATTCCAGGTGACGTGCCTTGCTAGACATGCACACTTTTCCAGGAAGACAAAAAAGTGAAAAACAACATGCTTTTCACAATTTTTATTTGATCTGATGTGGTCATTTGGTCGGAACCAAAGGGTGTCATTCATCGTGAGTACAATGAAAGTCAGCACAAATCTACTCACCACCTCAGAGTTGTTTTCGCGCCAAGAGAACGGATGATTGGAGCTGCCACTGTGTTCGTTTTTTTTTTTTTTTTTTTAAATCATAATGTCACTGGGCAAGCGCATGCACAAGTCAATAGGCCCTGGCAATTATGGGAAATAATAAGAATAAAACATTTTATTTACATTTTTCATCGTGTTGCCAGAGCACATGAGGCAATAAAAGGGAAGATTCACGGCAGAAGCAAGCAGCTGAACCTTTCCCCGAAAAACAGGAAGAAAAACAAGAGTTCACGGACAATTATGTCAAAACAAGAGGTGGAAAATACAAGCTACCGTTTATATTAAGATCATCCTGATTTCCACTGTCATGTACGGAGCCCCTAAGGGGACATGGAAGGAAAAAAAAAGAAAAGATTTTTTTTTTTTCCTTCCATGTCCCCTTAGGGCAGGGGTGTCAAACTCATTTCACATGGTGAGCCACATACGGCCTCGGTAGAAGTCAAGTGGGCCGGACCATTAAAATGATACCATTCTTTGCTAGAAAATAGAAATAACCAAAACAATATGTCTTTCCTTTGTTTTGGTATAAAGAAGCACAAGAACATTTGGAAAATGTTGAAATTTAATGAACATATCTTTTACAAAACATTTCATGAAGCACCTTACATTTCCTTCGACAAATGTACAATTTACTTTTATCATTCACATATATGCATTGCAACTGATCCCACTGATTGTACAAACTTTAACAAGTAATTGGTATTGAAAAATATAGTAATGCAATTTAAGATTAAACGAGATTTATACAGAAAGGAAGTTTTAAACCATTTACACGTGCATATAAAATATAAATGTAATCCCTGCCTACACCTTACAAACTAAGGAGAGTGCTATTAAATGTGTAAATGTGAGAGTGCTATTGATAGCGTCTGCTATCTCAGTGATGGACTGAGGCTGCTGTTGTCTTCTTCTCTGATCAAAACAGTGCCCCCTTGCGGATACGCAATGAATTGCACCTTATTAAAAATATTAATTCTGTGTCTTTAATGCATTTTTTTTCACTTTTAAATTATCCTGTGGGCCTGATTGAACCTCCTTGCGGGCCGGTTCCATATGTTTGACATGCCTGCTTTACATAATCATCTCGCGGGCCGGATTAAACTCCTTTGCGGGCCGAATCCGGCCCGCGGGCCGTATGTTTGACATCCCTGCCTGAGGGGCTCCGTAGTCATGCTTGTCCCGCCCCCGAAGACAATCTTCTTGGAACAACATCCACCATGACACAAAGCTGCAACCACATTGGCCACGCCCACCACCTCTGGTTTCACAATGCTGACATCATGTTATCTGTTCTTCAAAGTTCCGCTCAAAAGCCATTCACATTATTTTGATGTTACCAGGGGGTCCCAAGTCATTGTACAAGGTACAGTAAAATGATACAGGATCCGACATTAACTTTTGCCCAATGGCCTTATGGCCCTGGACCAGTATGGCACTGTTGTCGGGCCACCACGGACACTTTCGATGCGGGCTTGGTAGTCCAGTAAAAATGTTATCAATATGAAACTAAAATTCTTGCTTTTAAGCAAAATATTTTATGATTTGAAAATTTAGTTTTTAGCTGTCAGGCGAGGTACTCAAACCGTCTTGAAAACAAATGATCTTTTGGCCTCTCATCAGTCAAGGTTGTCTTGTTTGAGCTTCCTGTAGGTGGCCACAATACACAACAAAAATATATGCTGGTGCGTGCTCAATTATTTTCCACAACAATATGCATTGGCTTAAACTAGAAATAAGCTCAGAATTTTTTTTTTTTTTTTTATCCCGATCTGTACTTTAATCACAGTAACACCAAGGTAACTTGGTACTATTTGCTTGCCTCCATGGCCACCAGGAGCCAGAAACAACAAACCAATACATAAAACAAAAAGTGCTTGCAAAGGCAAAGTACAAGAGAACGCAGAGAATACAAAAACGATATATCACAGGTCCAATAACGTTCAACCAAATATCAATATCGATAAAAAAAAATATTGAAAACGAGAGCAACTCTGAAACACACAGAAAGGTCACACGTTTCCTGCTTTTCGTCTCGCCGAGTGGCAGCTCGCCACGTGCAGGAAAGTTGGCGAGTATCGGAAGTGACGGGAAGCAAGTGCCCCTGCATCTCGAGATGATTATGTAACATATTTACTTTAATATTAGCTTTAATTGAGTCTGATTAAAATCAAGACAAGACAAAGTTGACGTTCTCGCGAACCACAGTGAGTTGCTCCGCCTCACAGCAAAACACGACTTCCATTGTGCACGTATGATGTCACTGCTTCAAAAAGGCCCCACCCCCTCAGCAACATGTCAGTTCATGCACACTGCGACTGCAGACATGAACCGGGCGCTTGTATGTTTGCTGACGGCTGCTTGGAGCCTGGGTGAGGTCGAGATGTGAAGTCACTGCCGCTTTCCACTGACGTCTGATGGCTTTTGTTCCATTTTTGTGACAGGAATCAGTGGACAGGCGGTGCACCAGCCGGAACGGGACGTCCGCACCGTGGAGGGTGCAGCAGTGACGCTGGACTGCAGTTACGACACTTCGACGTACTACATCTTCTGGTACAAACAAGAAGCCAACGGATCGCCTGACTTCATCCTGGTCACAGATCGGCCCGGTTCCAGGACGAATGCCGAAAAGTACCGTGAAAGATTTCGCTGCAGCATGGATGCCAGCGCTGGGCAAGCTCCTCTGCATATCGACAGCGTGAAGCCCAGCGACTCGGGAGTCTTCTACTGCGTTGTGCGGCCCACGCTGACACATCCACTGGCGTGCCTGCACAAAAACACCTGCACCCGCCTCATCTCATGAGTGACATTGGGGGCGTGGCCTCACCGGAGTCCAAGACGTCTCACTGTAGCAGAGCTGCAACTCAGCGTGACAACAGACTGCTTCTATGCTCGAGGATGAAATTGTCTTGTCTCGTTTTTTAACTCTGCTCGATAGTGGGCCTCGTACTGTGTGTGTTCTCGAATTTACTTCATCTGATACTACATGAAGGTTTCGCCTCCTCATTTCTCTTCAGTTATGTTGACAGTGCAGCTCAGACGTCAATCAGGAGGCCAGCGACAACTGACGATGCTCACCAGTGTTATGGCAGCCGACTTGGCAAATGGGGCAGGCTAAGCAGCAATAAAATGACAAAAGTAACGAAACAGCATCACACTCTACATACCTGTCAACTTTTCGGAGCGCCAACCTGTATAAACTACCAAAAAAATCCTTATAGAAAGCAAAAAAATCCTGATAACATACCAAAGCATTTTATATGTCAAAATAACGGCAGAAAAAAACCCACGAAATATGAATGATATATTTGTTTCCTTGTAGAACTTGCTTGTACACTACCAAAGTATGCAATGAATACTCTGCTGTTTTCAACTAGGAACCACGTGATTTACTGGAAAGTTACCGGAAATGAAAGCCTTCGAGTAGACTAGCACCGTTCTGGGCAAAAGCAAACGGAACTACCTGTTAGGGGGAAAAAAAAAACCCTGAAATTTTCAGAATCCGTATGATTTGTGCGATATGGCCATAATACGTAAGATTCACCACAAAATCCGTTTGAACTATGGCTAAACCGTATGAGTTGACAGGTATGACTCAATCTACATATTGCACATGCACAATCCAAATGCAGAGTACTACCCGAATGAATGAATGAATGAATGAATGAATGAATGAATGAATACTTTATTGTCATTGCACACTTGTTACAACGAAATTCTGCAGGAGCCTCCACCCCCAAGTGCGTCGCGAAGTATAAAAATATAAAAAATATATAAATACATTGCACTCCCCTAGACCCACATACAATCACACGCACACATTAAAAATTGATAGAGTTATGGAATGGATTTTTTTTTTTGTTTTAAATCGTGATAAGAATATGTTCGATATTCGGCACTAGTTAAGGTACAGTCCAAGTTGTCTTACAAAATGATATGAATCAGGGATTAACATGACAGTATGTGGACTATTTCGGACTAATTGAAATACAGTCAGAGATATCATGAGGTATTAAGTAAAATTGCACACCCACAGGCCTACACATTTACATGCACACGATTTGAGGAATTGAGATTCAGCAGCCTGACTGCCCAGGGATAAAAAGTGTTTCTGTGTCTGTTTGTCCCTTCTTCTCATGACTCTATATTTCCTGCCCAGGGGCAGGAGGTTGAAGAGGCACCTGCCAGGGTGGGATGGATCAGTCAGGATTTTCTTTGCCCTTTGTAGCCCTCTTGAGTTAGCGATGTCATCCAGGGTTGGCAGGGGGCAGCCGATGATTTTTTGTGCCGCCTTTATGACTCCTTGCAGAGCATCCCTGTCCTTAGCCGTACAGCCAGCATACCACGCTGTGATGCCGTACGTCAATACGCTCTCCACTGTGGAGCGGTAGAAAGTGTGTAGCAGGTGTGAGCCCGTCTGGCATTTGTTCAGCAATCTTAAGAAGTCCAGCCTCTGTTGCGCTTTCCCGACCAAAGCATCTGTGTTTGCATGCCATTTGAGGTCGTCCGTTACATGCACACCCAGGAACTTGAACGTCGAGACCTTCTCCACACAGACACCGCCCATCTGTAGTGGGGAGGGTTCTGCTCTCTTCCTCCTCCAGTCCATCACCATCTCCTTTGTTTGGCTGGTGTTCAGTAGCAAATTGTTTGATGAACACCAGCCTACGAGTCTCTGTACCTCCTCCCTATACGCCGTCTCATCGCCATTGGAAATGAGACCCACCAATGTAGTGTCATCGGCGAATTTCACGATGACATTTGAGTCATACTTGGGGGTACAGTCATGTGTGTACAGTGTAAATAGGAAGGGGCTCAGCACACAGCCCTGGGGGGAGCCCGTGCTGAGTTGGTTGATTGTATGATAATTGAGCTTTTTCTCAGCAATCACCTATTTTGATGGCAGAAACTTCACTTATACGGAAGATTCTACCATTTCTTTTGAATCCAACAAAACATTCTATTTCACTTAAATTTGGCTCATTTAAATAAATTTCTATTCTTTCTTTCAAAGGATACATTAAAAATCTCTTCCATTTGTTAGGATCAATGAAATGCTTTGCATGAGAAAACTTTTTCTTTTTTGGTGAGCATAAAAACTGTCTACAAAAAAAGATAGAGCTCTATTTTTATGCCTTTTTACCTCATTGGGTGCAGAAATTAAATATGTAAGTTTTGAAGTTCTTTTGAGTGAATTTCTGGATGATATCGTGAAAAATACAGAAACAAGTTCTTTCAGGGGCAATTCAAAGAATTTGTTTGTTAAATCACATTCTTTTGTGTAATTTGTTTGTTCCAGAATAAAATCAAAAACATC